AAGTATCGGTATCGGGCGAGTACTGGAAAAAGTGGTATCGGTGCATCCCTATTAGGCTACATAAGATCATTTCTAATCGACCTGCAGTGATTGAGGCATTTCACCCGGAAGATCGTGCTGTGGACATCAGAGATGTTGACCTCTTCTTGGAAGATACTCCAGTCCAGCGTAGCCTAGGAGTGTCCTGGAACATAGCATCAGATACCTTTACCTTCCAAGCTGTTGATGAAAAGAAGCCATTTACCCGGCGAGGTGTACTGTCAACAGTAAACAGCCTATATGATCCCTTCGGTTTCATTTATCCTATTACCATCAAGGGCAGGCTGTTGCTTAGGGAACTCTCTGCACAGGCTGAAGACTGGGATTCCCCATTACCAGATGACATAAAGCCAGAATGGATACGATGGAGGAACTCCTTACAGAGTCTGCAAGACCTAAAGATACAGCGTACTTATTCATCTTTTCCTACTTCAGAGCTTCAGTCAAGGGAGCTGTGTATATTTGCAGATGCATCTGTGAAAGCTGTAGCAGCTGTAGCTTATCTGAGATCCACATCCCAATAGGGTCAAACAGATCTTGGATTTGTGTTTGGAAAGACAAAGTTGGCACCACAGCCAGATCTCACTGTTCCAAGATTGGAACTGTGTGCTGCAGTTCTCGCAGTTGAGATTGCAGACATGGTTGTTGAAGAAATAGGCTTGCAGTTCAACAGTATCCAGTTCTTCACTGACAGTAAAATTGTTCTTGGATATATTCACAATCAAACAAGATGTTTTTATGTATATGTGAATAACAGAATCCAACGTATTCTTCAGTCATCTGAAGTCATCTGAAGCTATACCCACCATTCTCTCCCAAGCACCCCCCATAAACAGGAAGTCAGGGGTGGACTAGGTGGAAATTCAATTCACAGCCCAAAATGAATATCAAAATAAAAGTCATAAATTGAAATATTATGTCCAACACATTGCTTCTATGAACAGTAACACTATGTTAGTGCAACTAAGCAAATGAAGAGAATGCAAGCCCAAATGTACTGAAAAGCTTCTTTCTCCAGTAGCCCCTAACTGCAGAACACAAGATCCAGAGGGTGTGGTTGGATCCAAATCTAGGGGGTGGAGATTGGTAGGTTTAGGGGTGGAGATGGGTGGGTTTAGGGATCAGGAGGTGGAGACAGGTTGGTTTAGGTATATGTAAGGTGGGAGGAGTTGGATCTGGATCCAACCACGCCCCCTGGATGTTCTGCAGTGAGGACCATCTCTCTTTGCAATGTTAAAAGTAGAGCTTACCAGAGGCGGACAGTAACTAAGTACATTTACTTGAGTATTGTACTTAAGTACACTTTTTGAGTATCTGTACTTTACTTGAGTATTATTTTTTCTGGGAACTTATGACTTGTGGTTGGATCCACATCTAGGGGGTGGAGATTGGTAGGTTTAGGGGTGGAGATGGGTGGGTTTAGGGATCAGGAGGTGGAGACAGGTTGGTTTAGGTATATGTAAGGTGGGAGGAGTTGGATCTGGATCCAACCACGCCCCCTGGATGTTCTGCAGTGAGGACCATCTCTCTTTGCAATGTTAAAAGTAGAGCTTACCAGAGGCGGACAGTAACTAAGTACATTTACTTGAGTATTGGAGGTAGGTATAGTTTGAGACAGCGCCATTGGTTTGGGATTACTCACCGTTGACTGGACGAGACATCTGTCAATCAACGTATACAGGGAAGAACCAGCCGAAGAACAGCAGAATTGTGGTAGAAAGTTCGGAGATGGTATTAAAGTAGCTCAGTTTAAATGTATTGGATGAATTGCCCTTACTATGGAATAAAAAATACGGAGTGTATATTTAAATTTAGTTAAAAGTGACTGTAAAATATCGGCTCCAGTGGTGCAGATGGATAAGCACGTGTCCTTGGGTTTTTGACGGGTTCGAGCCCACCTTTTGCTGAACTTTTTTTTCCTCCCTTTTCAAATCTCGTATCACATCGTAAAGGCATTTATTTTCAATAAAAATTAAGTGTAAATAGGTATTTGCACTTAGTGTAAATAGCATATTGCTAAAAATACTGCTATTTTCACTTAGTGTAAATAGAATCCATTGCTAATACGAGATTTGTAAAGGGAGGAAAAAAAAGTTCGGCAAAAGGCGAGATCGAACCCGGGTCGATCGCGTCAAAAAGCCAACTACACGCACTTATCTATCTGCGCCACTGGAGCTGATGATTTATAGTCACTTTTAACTAAATGTAAATAGACACCCCGTATTTTTTATTCCATAGTAAGGGCAATTCAAACAATACATTTAAACTGAGCTTCTTTAATACCATCTCCGAACTTTCTACCACGACTCTGCTGTTCTTCGGCTGGTTCTTCCTGTATACGTTGATTGACAGATGTCTCGTCCAGTCAGAGGTGAGTAATCCCAAACCAATGGCGCTGTCTCAAACTATACCTACCT